TATTATATAAAGAAGAGGAAACCAAGAGATTAATGATATATCTTAAACTAAGGGATAATCAAGAAAAAAGTGAAAACCAGAGTTCAAAACTTCTAATTTTGATACCTGAATATTTTGAGAATGAATGCTAATAAAACAACAGTAGAAACATACATTCCCAATTAGTGTCCTTAGCCAAGCCAGTACTGGTTCATTACTTGAGACCTTCTTTGAGCAAATTCTTAATTGCTCCAGGCCTCAGTCATCTCATCTGTAACACAGGGTTGTTGAGAGAATTAAATAAGACAATTCACATAAAGCACTTTGTACAATGCTTGGCACATAAAATGGGTGCTGTAATTTTTTTATATTGTATATATCAGTGGAATGATTGTGCTAAAAAGCAGAAAATAAACAACTAAAAGCATATATTAAAACTATTAAAGAAAACCACCAGTAAAAGAACAAGTAGACAGTTACTATTCTATTCTATTGTCTATTCTATGTCTAAATATGACAAATTCTATTCAAACAGTTGGCCTCTTCTTGCTATTTCCTGAATACTCAGAATGGGGATGTGTATTTCGTCTGACATGCTACCTACTGTGACTATGATACCATGAAACATTCCTGTTTCCATGTATTAGTTTTCCATTTCTGTTAAACAAATTATCACAAACTCAGCAACTTAAAACAACACAAATTTCTTATCTCACAGTTTCACAGCACGACTAGATACTCTGCTTAGGGTCTTACCAGCCTGAAACCAAGCTGTTGGCCAGGGCTGTGGTTCTTAGTTCTCACAGGAGCCTCTTCCAAGTTCACAGGCCATTGGCAGCAATCCATGTCCTTGCAGTTACAGAATTGAGATCTTCGTTTCCCTTCTAGCTGTCAGCTGTGGACTACTCTCAGCTTGCCACATGGCCCCCACGTTTGCTATCTTCCAGGCCAGCACAGAACTTCTGGAGCACTGAATCTTTCTTATGCTTCTAATCTCTGACTTATCCTATCTCAGACTTCCAGACTCAGATTTAATTGGCTCATGATTAGTCCATCTGGATAATCTCCCTATTTTATGGTCAACTGATCTGGCAACTTAATTACATCTGCAAAATCCCTTCGTAGCAGCACCTAGAATGGTGTTTGGTTGAATAACTGGGAGGTGTGGGGCTCGGAACCTTGGGAGCCATCTTAAGATCCTGTCTACCACATTCCTGAAGCACATGCAAGTTCAGTCACAGGACTGAGCAGTCACTTTTAGTGGCACTGCTGCATTTAACATTTGCCCCTTTGGCTATTTCTCTACACTCCATTTATATTTGAATGACAAGTTGAATATCTCAAAGGCCAAGACACATGCATTTTATAAGAGTGACATATTTTTGCCCCATGCTCTTAGGATACCTCTGAATGATGTGTAATTATGGATTTTCACCTCTAACCCTGTTCCCCTAATGCCTACATAATCACTGGGTCAAGGCAAGGATTTATCTATCATTTAAAACTAAAACAAAAACAAAACAAACTGAAACAGCAGCTTTTCAACTAAAATTGCTTACTATTCTTTTTTTTTTTTTTTTTTTAAGATTTGAGAAGTGTCCGTTTGATCAGTGTAGTCCTGGCAATAAATCAGTTGAGGCCAAGCCTGGTTTCAGGGGGTACTTGAACATATACTTGCCCTGAACATATTTAATTTCAGAGCAGTATATATTATGTTGTCAAATCAACTGGCTTCTTTCAGGAGGTTCCCACTTCAGACACAGCCAGGCTGAGAAACCTGTAATAAGAAAGAGCAAGGAACAAACACTAAACTGCAAGTGGAGGTGAAGTACAAACCATGGTTAAGATGCTTAATTTACATGGGCCCATCAGAAACAGCTGTCTCTGTAACTGGTCTTGGCCAGGTAAAATTTAAGAACCTTTTTTGAGACTGATCTGCATTTGGGACACTCCAACGCTCACAACAACTGTCTTAACAATTGACCTAGGATAAAGAAAAGAGATCCTCAACTCCCTAACCCCGTATCACCCAGATCCTTGAGGGTCTATCTATACTTAGGTCCTTTAATATGTCCACATATTGCTAGCTGATCACAATACGCCAGACTAGTCAACCCGAATGCACAACAGGAACAAAAGATGTAAGGATTTCTTGCTCATCTTGAGATACCAAAGTCTATATTCTGTAAAGGCCGAGCTAGTAGGTATCTTGGACACTGATAAAAGTCTCAGTGTTTACATGTATGTTCACATTTTAGTTTCCATGTCCCAAGAAAAGTACAAGTGCATTTTATTCAGTTTTGTTCTTTTTCTTTTTTCTTCTTCTTTGCTAAAGGTAATTATGAGCCTCTTAAACTCTCATTTCCAAGCTATAAATGGATTCTAAAGTCCACAAATCTCAATTAAGCTGGCTTTCTTACATGGCTGAGTAATAATCCATTGATTCTTGAGCCTGTTTATCCTGCTCACTCCACCTCATCCTCAACAAAAGGGAAGATAATGGGGGCACTAAGTGCACTTCCCACATTGAAGGACTAAGGTAATGTCCCTTTTCTCTAAAACATCTCTGTGAAGTTCAGACTCGTCACTAAAACAAACTAGGATTTCTGGCTTAGCACTGGCAGAAACCAAATTTTGGAGTACAGTTCAAAAGAAAAAAAAAAAACTTTTAACTACAAATTCTAACTTTTCTTTTGCTTGTTTCTACTTTATGGACATGGTATAACAATATTTTGCTTATATCCAGTTAAACTGCTTCAAGTTGGGAGGAACCAAACATACTTTGGCAATACAGCTTATTTGGAAAAAGCTCTTGTTTGCTTTCAGGTCCATACCTGTAAAATTCTGAGAAAAATGTTAAAATGATATTACAATACAGTTGACCCAAACAACATGGATTTGAACTGCACAGGTCCACTTATACATGGATTTTCTTGTATCTCTGCCACCAAAACAGCAAGACCCACCCCTCTTCCTACTCCTCAGCCTATTCAACTTGTAGAGGATGTTGACCTTTATGATGATCCACTTCCACTCAATGGATAGTAAAAATATTTTCTCATCCTTATGATTTTAATATTTTTTCTCTAGCTTACTCTCTTGTAAGAGTACAGTATATAATACATACAACACACAGAATATGTTAACCAACTGTTTATATTATCGGGAAAGCTTCCGGTCAACAGCAGGCTATTAGTAAAGTTTTGGGGGAGTCAAAAATTTATGTGGATTTTCAACTATGTGGAGGATCATTGCCCTGAACCTCTGCGTTGTTCACAGATAAACTGTATGTAAGTTTAAGAGTTATTCTGTTTACTAGTAGGTCAAGCCAAGACGAGTAAGTTAGGTTTATGTGTTTTTCGCTTAACCTAAGAAAATGTTCAGACTAAAGCAGTCCATCAATATAATAGCCTGCCTTTTAAAGCAGAGAGCAACTTATCCTTGTAGGTATTTTAGGGGACAAATGACCAAATGTGACCTGCTTTGGGTCACCTATGATCCCTTTCAACTTAAAACTTCTATATTAACATTGCATAATTGAATTGTGTATTTTATATAACTACCTTGTTGCCTACTTTAGACTGAAATGTTTTCCTTCTCAATTGCATATATATACATATATATATATACACACACACACATATATATGGCACCATACGTACTATGACTCTGATGTAGACAAGAAAGTCTAAAGTCATCTGTGAGGCTTAATAGACTTAGGCACTTCTACATACTACTACAAAAAGCAATGGTCTTAAAGGTACTACTTGCTGAGCATATCATTCAAAACTTTCACACTACAATTAACAGCTGAATTTAAGAGTACCTTTCTGCTTTCAAAAATGACTACAAACATCTTTACAAAGAAGCCATAGTCTCTCAGGAAGAAAAAAAAAAAACCCTGGTAGAAAGCCTGGACTTCTCTTGGAAATGAACTACCTAATTTTGAGTCCCTATCTCAAAAGCATTGCAATTCTATTACAGAAACATTTCTGGTGCTTGTGGAATAAGAACCCAAAGGCTATTATTTTTAAAGGTTTTGAATTTCTCTCGAATATTTTGGCATTTAAGTCTTTTCTTGTATGCGTATTTTTATTATCATCTAATTGTTTCATAAAGGTTACTCTTGCCTTCTTAGAACCATCCTAGTTCTGAAAAACTAGAACAAGAATAGACAAGTATAAATTCTAGCTCCAACACTGACTTGCTTAATGACCTTGGGAAAATCACTTGGGCTTTCTTGTGTTTTTTAAGGTTTACCAACAATGAAATAACCTCAGACTAGCTGTGAAACTCTCACAAGGTGATGGACTTGAAAGTGCCTTGGAAAGTATAAGCTGTCCACAGATATAGTTTCATGTACTTCTATATTATATTGCATGGTTATATTGCATTATTATATTATATTGCATTGACACCATGCATATAATATAGGTTATATAATATAGGTTAGGTTGGTAATAGGTGATTATCCAATTATGGGAGAAATAAAAAGAACTATTTTAAATGATGAAATAAAATAGTTCACTTTCCCATTAGTTTATTATTTCCTCCACTTAAAATTTTTAAAAAATTATATAATTATATAATAATGACACATAATTATTAACACATTGACATGTGAGTTGTATTTAACTCACACTAGTTTTGAGCCAGGGGCCTTGTGAAGCATATGTAACTCACATGTCTTCACCTTGGGAACTGCAAGAACTATTTTTCAAGTTGCATGTAACTCATGCACAGAAAACAATGAAAAATAACAAATTTTTCATTAAATTAGAAAGGATCATTTTGTTTTTGAAGTAAGTTTTTATTCTATTTTTGTAATAAAAGACCATGGCCCTAAGGAAAAAAAAATTTTCCTAGTGTGGCAGTCAATGTGTTAAACATATTTCTGTCTGTATAACATAGTAATATTATTAATATGCAGTAATGTAATGTTTAAATAATTAAACTTTATTTTTATATATAATTTAAACTATACCCTCCTTTCCCAGATAAGACACAGAACCTGTTTTCTTCTCTGAGGGATTTATTGGTCCCTGTGAAATCTGCGAAGGCCATGAATATGCACAAAGAATGACAAGCCTATGATTGTCTTTTCAGTCTTATAGTATCCACAGTACTGAAGTCTGTCCATGTCCAGATGTCTGTCTAGAACATCCATAAACCCCAAGCTTGCTCTGTGTGTCACAGGGACAGGGATGAGAGAAGACAAATTCACAGGTGGTTCCTTCAACCAGTCCGGTAGGACTTTCCTTTGGGGTCTGTCAGGACAACTACACCCCAGCAGAAAATGCCTAGGAAAAAAAACAAGAGCATTTTACTGATACATTTTAGTTTACCAAATGCTTCATATATGCCATTTTATTTAACCTTCACAACATTTCTGGCGGATATATTATTAAACCATTATATCTTTCTTATAGGAGAGTGAAGCTCACAAAAGGAAAAAAGTTCAGAGAAAAGAAAGAACATACAGTAGGAGAACTGATTTAGACAACCTGGTTAAGAAGGTAAGAAATCTGAAAACCTAAAATTCTATTCACTCAGAAAATTGGTTTGAAAAGCTAAAAGAATTACTACATTTTAACTGGAAGACATCTTGACAATCACTTAGTATTTCTACAGATCAGGACTGTGGGCCACACTACAAGACCTACCAAGTAGGTGAGCTTTGAAGCCACCTCTAAGATCTGGCTTCAGGTCTTACTTAGATCAGGCACCAAGGTCATATGCCCTTGCTCAGGCACTCTCCAGGACTTGGAGAAAAAGCGTGGGCTTCAGGGCCAGATAAACCTGGGATCAAAAGTGAATATCACTTCCTGACTAGCCTTGAATACGTCACTTTTGCATCGATTTGCTCAGCAGTAAAACTGGAATGCTATAATTATACCTACCTCTAATAGCTGTTGTGGGGATTAAAAAGACTGAGCCCAATAAGGGTTCTCCAGAAATACCGTGATTAAAAAAAGGCGTTCCAACAACTTTCTCTCCCCTACACCCTGTATGAGGTTCCTACCAATTGACCAGCGCCAGCGACCCGCACCCCGCTCCCGCCCCACGAGGCTGCTCTCGGCTTCCCTCCTCGTCACCCCTCCCCCGCCCAAATGGCTGTGCCCCGACTCTCACTGATGCCGATGACCATCTGCGTAATAGTCCCTGGACCCGGGGCGTATCCCAGCTTCATGGGCTTCCGCGCCGCCAAGTACACGTACCCGCCCGCCCCCATCAGCCCAAACCCAGAGAGCACGCGACAACTCCAGCACTTTTTAAGTAGCGGGGCTTGCTCCGGAGAGGTCGGCGCTTCGGGAGTAGCTGGGGGCGCAGGCTTGGGTGGTGAGGCGGGAGGTGCGGGGAACTTGAACTCGTCAAAAGGCTGGGTCAATGAAGAACCCATGTTCTGAAACGCGGCCTCAACCTTAGAAGTCTTTGGTTCGAACTGACGTAAAAGATACAGCCGGAAAGCACAACGCCGGAAAGCAGAGCTGCTGAGGGCCGCTGGGAAATGAAGTTCCCGCCTGCCTGAGAAGGGGAAAAGATGGAGGCTTACCTACTGTAGTGGATTTCTCCAGCAACAACTTTGGAGGAGGCCAGTTCTGCCCCCCTCCCCCACACGATGTAATAGAAATAATGTATTAGCCTACGTTCTAAATGTGTCACTTTTCAGTATCTTTAGAGAAGTCTGGGTTCTTAAATTTCCTGGCTAACATAAACTGTGAGACCTTGGGCGTGCCACTTAACTTGTCTAGGTGTGTGAATCAAGGAGTTAAGTTTAATAGGTACTTAACAATGTGCTAGATACAGGCATACCCTGGAGATACTGCAGATTGGGTTCCAGACCACCACAATAAACAGAATATCACAATACAGCGAGTCACAGTTTTGGTTTCCCAGTGCAAATAAAATTGTTTATACTATTTTAAGTGTGCAATAGAATTATGTCTTAAAAAACAATGTGCATATCTTAATTTAAAAATACTTTATTGCTAAAAAATATACTAGTGATTACCTGCCTTCAGCAAGTTGTAATCTTTTTGCTGGTGGAAGGTTTTGTCTTGTGGGTGGCTGCTGACGGATCAGGGTAGTGGTTGCTGAAAGCTGAGGTGGCTGTGGCAATTTCTTAAAATAAAACAATGAAGTTTGCCACATCTTTTGACTCTTCCTTTAATAAATGCTTTCTTTGTATAACGCAATGCTGTTTAATAGCATTTTACCCAAAGTAGAACTTTTTTCAAAATTGGAATTAATCCTCTCAAACTCTGCCTTTGTTTTAATATTATTAAGTTTATGTATTAATAATTGTATTGATATTTATAAATATATTAATAATTAATATTAAGTTTATGTATTATTCCAAATCTTTTGTTGTCATTTGAACACTGTTCACAACATCTTATCAAGAATAGTTTCCATATCAAGAAATCACTTCCTTTGCTCATCCATAAGAAGCAACTTCTTCTCCATGCAAATTTTATCATGAAATGGAAGCAATTCAGTCACATCTTCAGGCTCCACCTCTAGTTCCAGTTCTTTTGCTATTTCCACTACATCTGCAGTTACTTCCTCTGCTGAAGTCTTGAACCTCTCAAGTCACCCATAAGGATTGATATCAATTTCTTCTAAACTCCTGCTAATGTTGATATTTTGACCTCCTCCCATGAATCACAAACGTTCTTAATGGCATCCAGAATGGCGATTCCTTTCCAGAAGTTTTTCAATTTACTTTGCCCAGATCCATCTTAGAAATGACCATCTATGGAAACTATAGCCTTACAAAATGTATTTCTTAAATAATAAAACTTGAAAGTCAAAATTACTTCTTAATCTACGGGCTGCAGAAGAGATGTTGTGTTAGCAGACATGAAAACAACATTAATCTCCTTGTACATCTCCATCAGAGCTCTTGGGTGATCAGGTGCATTGCCAACAAGTAGTAATATTTTGAATGTTTTTTTTTTTTTTTCTGAGCAGTAGGTCTCAACAGTGGGCTGCAAAAGTTCAGTAAACCATGCTGTACACAGATGTGCTGTTATCCCAGACTTTGTTTTTCCATTTTACAGAGCACAGGTAGAGGAGATTTAGCTTAATTCTTAAGGGCCCTGGGATTTCTAGAATGGTAAATGAGCATTGGCTTCAACTTAAAGTCACCAGCTGCATTAAACCCTAACAGGAGAGTCAGCCTGTCCTTTGAAGTGTTGAAGCTTTGAAACCATGCATTGGCTTCTCCTCTCTAGCTATGAAGGTCCTACATGGTATCTTCTTCATTTATACTGAAAATCTGTTGTTTAGTATAGTTACCTTCATCAATTACCTAAGCTAGATCTTCTGCATAACTTGTTGCAGCTTCTACATCAGCTCTTGCTGGTTCATCTTATACTTTTATGTTATAGAGATGGCTTCTTTCCTTAAACCTCATAAACCAGCCTCTGCTACCTTTAAAGTTTTCTTCCGCAGCTTCCTCATCTAAGATAAGATTTGGACTAGGTGGTCTCTAATATTCTTCCTGGCTTGAAAATCCTATTATTTACTGGTAATCTCTCTTCAGATAGCATTGTGCCAAGTACCATACCAAATGAATTTGGTAGTATTTCACTTAGAAATTCATAATTTATGGCTGTGTTTTTTATTGTCTGACATAACATTTTATAGTGCGTGTAATTTCTTCTTATTTATATAGGAAAAACTCATCATTTGGTAGTGGTTACCAAATATTTTGATTATACGCTCTGTAGATAAAAAAGATTGAGCACACACTAGCATTTATGCATGTTTATTTATTATTTATAAATTATGTATTAACATGCTACTTTATATAAAAATAAGGTAAAATAATAAAAATAGAAGTTTCAATATTTTCTCACATCACAACATATGGGCTTGTGCATCTCCATGGATACCTTGGTTATTTGACATGTGATTTTATTAATTCATATTTTATCTAAAACCTTACTTTCTGTGGTATGCTTATCACAGCTAAGAATGCCAGGAAAGAACATCTTTAATTCTCCAAAAAAAAAAATACTATTGAAATATTCCATCACACAATTTTCAAATGACAGGAAAGATTTTATCTTAATTTGTGATTCTTTAAATCACCTTCCAAAAGAAACATTGGTTCCCTTGCTATTGTCTCGAATGAACTATTTCAAGCTTTTTTGTTATTTAATTGTGATATTCCTCTAAAATTCAACAATGGCTTCTATAGAACCCATGTCCTAAAATTGCACATAGTACATGTTGCAACTGAGATGAACTAACAACTTTGAAAATTATTGGAAGCGTTAAGACACCTCTTGAGATAAATTAAGCAGAAGTGTTTGAGGATAAGGCAAGAGGCTGATTAAAGCAAGCAAAACTGTAATTGGAGGAAGACTGTATTTTGAGGGAAGAAAATAGGAGAAGGCTGAAAGCTACCTTCACTTCATTTTCTTATTTACTGTATTCATTTCTTTCACTACTTATTATCTCTATAGTTCATTTTGGCACTTATGACTCACAAGACCTTGTGACCTTTCCTATTTATTTATAAATCTAAAAAGTGCAAAA